ACAAAATGAATGAAAGGGACTTTATACAGACCGACTTTATTAGAGCACAGTCTTCGGTCTGAAAATGTAGGCCTGAACAACAAAACAACAATGGATGCCGCAATTAAATCTAACACCGTGTAGGCATACAGGCTTGTGCAACTACAGTATGGTATAGTACGGTACACACTCTACTTACCTATATGTACATCTTCCTAACTTAGAAGAAACACCACTCCAGCATTTCATATTTTAGAAGATGTTTTTTTTTTTAATTTTTTGCGACGACGTGTCTATGATAAAGTAGTTTACATACACGTTTGCTTTCACCGTAATTTGGATGTTATCATACAGGTGCACAACCAACCACGTATCTGAAGGAAAGGAAAAGAAAGGACAATAGTGCCCTACCAGGCTAAACATACAAATTATTAGTTCAGAGCTCACCCCTTATTAGCGCCCATCGAATGGGTCTAGCCACTGGGGACGAACCCTCGACACTGGTCCCTCCCCACCCACTCGGATAGTAATGCAGTGACCCCCCGGAGGTGGGGGAGGGGGCGCTTCGGCGTTTTTAGCGTTCTATAACGTATTTTAATGAATTTACACATTCGAATTCTAAGTTTGTGTATGTATGTAAGAGTATGTTATAAAAATATTTGAATTTGCTGGCGCGGATCTAGCGGGGGGGGGGGCGCATAAGGGCCCGTGAACCCCCCCCCCCGTCGGTCAAGCTGGAAAATAAAAAGAGGGAGACACATTTAAGTTCAAGAGAGGATAAAGGGAGAAAAGGGAGTAAACCCATGAGTTCAGTAGCGATCCAGCAGTGAAAGGAGAGCTCGATTGTTTACCACTTATTTACACCAACCATGGTGAGGCGGAGGTGGGCGTGGCGACGTGAGCGTCATATTGTGCCCCCTTCCCCCACCCCCGTCGGCAGAAAATATCTGGATCCGCCCCTGGGGGTCCCTGGCTTTAGCCAATGAGAGCTCAGCCGTTACGCCACTGCCAGGAAATTTCATCATGAGACTATAAAAGTAGTGTTTGCTACGAAGTTTTTCGTAGGATCCTGTTTTCCCAGACCACCCATCTCCCACCTCCACTGGTGGTGATGTTTTCCGACTTCGAATATAAAGACCTTTTTTGAGAAAGTGTGCACTCAAAGGGCATTTTCTTCATACTGATTTGAGTCAAGAAGACGTCACATTATAAACAAAGGACGAAAATAGAAAGTTCACCCATAAATACTGGGATAGTGTCCGGCTGAGGGTAGTTTTTACCATGTAGTTTAAGTCACTTTTTAATATATACATTTTTATTTTTATAAATAAATTAGAAATACCGGGGGTGCCCTATCTGAGGCAATATAATTATTTTTAATAACTACGTAAAATAACTACGTAAAATAAGCAACACAAACAAACCACCATTGCTTGCTTAAATTATCACTAAACATGTCCAACAAAAATAAAAGATCATGTTTTAATTGGAACAGTCAATAACAGTCCATAATCATAACAATACAAAATGATAACATTATAAGGCTAAAACAGTGATACTAAATGATTATCTATGTTTTTCAAAAGAATGAATATCAGTTAAATGACAACCGGAGGCCTTAGCAATTGCAGTAAAATCCGGTGTCAGGGGCTGTCAAAGATATCCGCATCAAGTCCCAGAGATGCGCATTATAATAAGTCGACTTCTATGTTTTTTTTGTTTTTTTTTGAAAAGCCACTTTCACATGTGTATATATACTACAAAACATGGTTAAGATGATGATGGATAACTTCTTCAACACCGGTCTTGCATTAATAGCAACGTCCATTCACCAACATTCTATTGTCATCATTGGATAGGCCTAGGCCTACAGAGTTTTTCAATGCTTACTGTTACTTCACAGCAAAAATAGGACCAGAGAGAAACAGTGTCTGGGAAATCAATGTAGCTTCTGCGCTTATAATGCGCTCACCAACTTTAAGCCCTCCCCGAGAAATATGGCTCAGGATTTTCATTTTGGTCTTTACTTTACGTTATTTCAAAAATATTCATAAAAATATTATTCATTTTTTATTTTAATGAATAAAAATATATAAATATATAGGTATATATAAATATAATATAAAACAAGATAGCCGTTAGCACTGTTAAATTATATATAAATCATCAAAGAAAGGTAAATACAGTGTATTGACAGCGAGANNNGGGCCAGACTATTTGGCCCCGCAGATTAAGAACCAGGGGCCTATATTGTAGACAGATTACTACTACATTTTAGCCGACCCTTACAAAGTTATGTTATGTTTACAAATGACTAAAAGAATACAAAATACTGAACCAACAGCTCAACCTCCCATCCGAACGAAGATGAACCATTCCGCTAACCTATCTAACAGATAATAAACAACCCATCCCTGAAAATAGCATCTGGCAACTTATAGAGCGCTTATCCTCAATGATTTAAAGTTAGCGGGCGACAAGATACAATAGGCCTGCCCATGCTCGGCTGAGGCAGGCAAATTTTGCTAAAATTAAGGATTGTCAAAAAGTTCTAAATTAATTTATAACACGAGATTGAAATGCATAGGCATAGTGCACACAAAACACGCACATGGTGAATATCTATTTAAATATAACAATGTGAATGACACTATTGAGTTGCAACTATTAATAAATTTATATAATTGATAGGTCAAAAAGTATATAGGCCTATTTAATGGTCCATTCAAAGCCGGTGCGGTCGGTACGGTTACGACGGCCCTGTGTGGTGATGTAATAGGTATGCATCATGAGGCAATGGTAAGGACGGCATGCGATGGTGTCATATTTATACAATTACGTAGTTAATGTAGGCCTGGAAAGTAGGCTAATGGCGCGGAGGTGTAGATACAAACATATTTAAATGTTTTAAAAACATAAAAATGTTTTAATCGTCCTTGTAAATTAATGTGTCCTAGGAATAGATTTTTATTTCACGATATGGTTTTTCTCTATAAATGTGTTAACTCGTACTTTAGTTGTGATCTTGTACATCTGTTTGGTTTGCATGTTAATTCTAGAAGTCTTCGTTCCTGTCCTACCTTTAATGTCCCCTTTTGTAGAGTTGATGTCTGTAAACGTAGTTTTATTTCTAGACTTTCTCTTCAATATAATTCTCTTATTTTAACCTCTAATATTGACATTTTTCACAATTGTTTGTCTATATTTCGTTCTATTATTATTAATCATTTGAGTAGGTGAGATTTTTGTACTCTTTCGTCTATATATTTGATATACTGTATTTAAATTTTATATATTTTAGTGGCGATGATTCGCTGTTGGTCTGATGAAATGAAATAAATAAATAAATAAATATTACTACTACTACAAAAGTTACTACATGTAATGAATAAATGGAATTCGAAACTGTATTCATCCCTGGAAGCTAAACATCCTGAAGTCAATCCTCTTTGATAGGTTTTGATGCTTTGATCTCATCATTTACACCTAGCCATGCCGTTTCAAATTAGGGACTTCATATGGTGAATAATGCACTCTATCGACGTGAATATGTGTAAGAACAATTGTAATAATAAATAATTGGTGTTTAATTTTATGTTATACTATTATATAATTGTTATACTATTGTATTGTTATTCTATGTCGTGTATGAAAACGCACTAGCTTTTACTACTGCCGTTTGCCGTAATATTTTGTTTAGTGTATTATAGGGTTTGGCAAATCTCAATTCATTTCCTTTTTCTCTTCCCAATCCTAAACTTCGCTACCTTGGAATAAATTTATCTTTCATGACTTAAAATGGCACTCCCAAATCATCACTCTTACAAGTCCTGTATTCGTAAATTGTCCATCCTCAAATACCTCAAACACTCCATTTATCGCCAATCACTTGCCCCTATATCCTCCCTGCCATGGAATACGTATGTTGCATTTATGGTAAACTCATAAATTGACAAATAAATTAATGAAACGGATTGAAAACCTCTTTTCCAAAATACTTTCAGACTCATCTACGAATTTTATTTATCACACCATATTTAATCACAGTTTAACATTCCCACTCTCAAAACTCAACGAACGCTCTACACCCTCTACAGCCTTGGAAAGAGTGCCCAAAATGAAAATAATCCCCTTCAGTCCCACGACCATTCCCGTCGCCAATGCAGTATAGTATCTCTTCGCAACTCCCACAATAACGTCCTCCTTCCTATCCCTTGTCGCACCTCCCACTTTGAAACATCATTCCTTTCATATTCCCTTACCCTTGCAAACTCCCTATTGACCCTTCCACAATCTCTCATTCCCTTATAGAGCAAGTTTTTAACATGTAGGCCAAAATTAACTCACATTTACAGTTATTCCTACCACTGATCTCTACAAATAGCTGGATTGCTCATCGGCCAATCCTTGCAAATAAACGTGAGGCCACCCACGCCATGTACCTGTTTAGATTTTGGCATTTGTTTAAATTATTGTTTAAAATAACGATTCTTGCAATATTTTTCTTGCAATATTTTTCAATAATAATTTTTAATTTGACGTAAGAATTTTTTTTCAAATTGTCTAACGACTTGACGTGATTTATGCAGTTCACAAAAGCGCGAGCGAAGTCGTGTTGTTATAGTGACGTCGATCACTAACAACGCCAATAATTTCGCCTGCGCTTTTTAAAGCTGCATAAACAGTCACGTCAAGTGGTTAGATGATTTGAAAAATCATTACGTTGAATTTAAATTTATTATTAAAACGTTTTGCAAGAATCCTTATTTTTAACTATAATTTTTTAAAATGCCAAAAGAAAATTGCCTAAACTTATAAGTCACTTAAGCCCTCCAACATGGCGTCGGTAGCGTCACTAAAACCAGCCAATGAGCAATCTAGCTATTATAGTAGAGATCAGTGATTCCTACCTATCTTGTAAATTTGTAAAATAATTTATTATAATTTGTATTGCAATGTACTGTAATGTTTGTTAGCAGATAATGGTCTTTAATGGTAGACTGATGCAAAACTGAATTGAATAATTTATAGTATCTTTATTGCCAAGTGTGAAATCATTGACGCACATCATGGGGGAACAGGTACTCTCGCATACTTTGAAGGGGGTTGTTGGTACACCACCATGTAAGTAAATAAGTAAGTCAAGAAGATGCCTAAAAATTGTTCAAATGAACTGCATAAATGAACCAGATATTAAAGGAAGAGCATTCTGCAGCAGTTTTATGCCATTAAATCAAAATTATTATTTACAAATCTTGTAAAATTTTGTAAATCTGATTTTCATTTTTACTATAATGGTGATGTGATGACGATAATGATGAATTTTGCTATATAGAGTATAATTTTCATTCATCTATAGGTAACATTTCCTAACAAAAATTCCAACACTGTCCCCCACCTTTCAAAACAGATCTGCACCCCTGTGTGAAATACAAACACAAACAAAATATAAACAAGACTTCTCATCTTGGATGATGTATTGTCCAAATAGCAAGTAGAATCAAACTTATATGAGTTGACAATTGTAATTTTTTACTCTCTAAACTTCTACAAAAAGCAGCTCAATTTTTTCCAACCGACATTTCAAATACTTTTACATAGACTATCTTTTACAACCATGTCCATTTGTTTTAGTTGTGTAGGTAACAAACCAATGGACTTATTATAAACTTACTAGTAAGGTTGAGTACACACTCACCCTCATCTCTACAAACTATTTTTCAATAAAATTGTACATTTAATTATAAATTTACAGATCTTGCAATATTAAATGTCTCTTCATAGATTGGCTATAAAGAGTATAGATAAGGAAAGAGGTTGCAGGCTGTTGATATTGTATGGAATATATGCACAAATCCTATCGACTGAAAATAAAATTTTCAAACGATAAACTGTATAGAGGGCACCATTTATGTCCCATTTTATTGGGACATATTTTTTGTGTATTTTTCTGTGCTCTGTATTTTTGTGTTTTTACTGTTTACTATGCCAAAGGTAAGCAATTTTCTGATTGTTACAAATTGGATGAATAAATATATCTTATCTTATTCAAAGTTATTATAAGAAAGTAGGATTGCATTGCAGAAATTAACCTCTTTCCGTATTTATACTCTTTGGTATCTACAAGGAGGACACTACATGTACACATACTCAAAGTTAAAAACAAAAGAAATAAATACATAAAAACAACAATTAAAAGGGATATCAAAATTTGAATAATATCAATAACAACAGTAATAATATTTTTTGTAATAAAATATAAAATATCCTTTAATATATATAATAATTTTAATTCAATAATATTAAGGATGGATGCTAATTATAATGCATTATAAGTATCAGAACAAAAATGTAGATATGAAAAAGCAACCTCTTCCAAATTATCATCGATTATAATCGATTATATTATATTTTTTCCAATTTTCAGAGATTACATGATTTGATCAAAATATTTCTGAAATGACACATTAATTACCATAACATAATATTTGATACCCATAATGCATTATGTTTCCAAGGCATAACTATACGATTGTAGTTTCCTTAAACAGTTGGGATTTGTGCACTGGCTCCACGTTAGCACAATCCAATTAAGATTTATCATCTCATAATTACTCTAATTAACAACATGATTTATGAAATTAAACAAGAATTTTCCTGACAAAATGATCGTAAAAATATAACATAGCTCATTAATATTGGAATTGGTGCCACAAACAATGCATTGATTAAAATGTTTTATAAATATAGAGGTGCACCTTTTCAGTTTCTTAACACCATGATTGACTGTTGTTTGACTTTGATATACCTGTACATAAGTTGCAAACTGATCTCGCATTATTCTGATTAAAATTATACATTTCCCAATGATTGCTTTGTTAGCAAATGCTGACAAAAACTGAGTTGACAACAAGTAATGGCTTCACCTACTAATAGGCTATGGAACTAAAAATCCATTTGCAACAAAATAATATCACCAAATATGTGTAGCACCATTAAATATCTATCACATTTCCAACAAATAAATGACATAGCTTCTTAAAATTTCCAGGTTCTAAAATATGGAATTTGTATTGTAGTTTTTATATGCATATTTATATCTATGAATAATAATTAGTATGCAACCAAGTAGACTTTTGTTTATCAAGATATCTAATTAATGAATATCTCCACAATATGACAGTATTCATTTACACAGATATTATTAGTTACCTGTAAAGTAGTATCTGTTAAAAAAAAAAACAACAAAAAGACAGGTATATAATTAATCATATAAAAGAAATGATCTTGGCTGGTGTTACAATCAATTTAGGAAACATACAGACAATAATTGTACCAAAATATACACAATAAACATCCCTTAGTTTTATAGATAAGCATTAGAAATGTGCAAAAATATGTACAGTACATGATAAATTGAACCCATATACAAGAAACAATGATTTACAACAACAAAATAATACATTGCTAAGCAACCAAAAGATAATCATGATAAAACTTCATGATTCACAACCTCGTCGTCTGCTAACATAGCCTGTCAACTGCATGATGGGTAATAATCTAGTAAATGAAAGAATTACATAAAAGACAGCTGTTGTGTCAACTTGTTTAGTTTATCAGAAACCAATTAAAAATGGAACTTACTACTCAGATAAAGCAAAGGAAGAATGTATTGTGAAAAATATTTTCTACATAATCTATGATTTTATTCATTCTTTCTATCGTGGCAATTTGCACAAAAAGCCCAAATAAGGAGGTAAAAGCATGATGAGTCTGCTTTAAAGGTTGTGGGTTTGTTATTATGGGGAGACATAAATTATGTAATTTTGCATGATTCAGACATAAAACAAAATTGCAGCTTTTTTCATGATTGAACAATTCAAACAGAAGTGGACTTTATATTTAAAAAAAAAAAATCCTATTTCAATTAAAATTTCAGATATCAAAACTAAAAAAGCAGAAAATCTCAAAATATGGTTGGTGTAAGGCTTGAATTATGCCAACAAATTTATCTTCACGGGTAACTGGAGTAAGTACAATGCTGGAAGGTAATTGTTCTGTCACAATAATTCAATTTATATTATTCTTAATATATATATGGCTATAATGCATAGCACTAATTAGAAGTAATGGTCTCATTTGTGATTTTATTTTAACTGTAACATAATTTATGACTTTGCTTTACAAGCGGTGACATCATCACTTCATGCGTAGCAACTGATGGAAAGTTAGGGTGACATTATCAATGCGTGTGGTCATTAAGAAATACTACTACTGTATAAAATTAGAAATAAAATTAGTTAAACATTTTATAATGGGTTATGGTGGGATCTGATTTATTAGAATAGAGTACAACAATAAGTGGAATGAACTTCAATAAAATACTGTGACTCAGAAATTAGAGTGATAGGGAAAGGGGATACATGAATCCCATGGAAGGGATCCTGGACAATTCTCACAGAAAAGGTCTGTGCTCTTCTCGAAAAAGGATCTGACAGTGTATAGCATTTTAAAGGTAGGATTTACATTCATTTCCAATAAAAAACAAGATATGTAACAATGTATTTTGTGGCTTTTAAGCACAGCTCCCATTCATATCATCCTACAAACCAATCGATGAAGAAAAAAAACAAAACAAACACAACTCACATATCTTAAAATTGCACTTGTTATCAAAACCTTACAGTTGTCCACAAAACTAGCAAATCCTAGCATTATTTTCCTTGCAACTTATAAAGCAAGCAAATGGCGTCGGTCTCCTACTGTGTAGGTGCACATGAGTTACCCACGCTAATTCCCCTGGCAGGAAAAAACCATACAGAGCCAACATAAATATTTCTTACATATTCACAAGCAGAACTAATGCTGGATGCCAAAAAAAACCTGTTTTTTAATGCGTAGACATGTTGCTAGTTTAATAACATACTGTAGATCCGTTTTCAAACATTTCTGTTTTTCTTCTAGCGAACATAGGAGTACAACACAGATGATAAGAACAGCCGACATGCACATCCTACGGTTATTTTTCACAGATGCTTACTGCTTCTACTTATGCAGGACATTGTGCATTGGTCAAAGATGTTTGATATCCTAATGCACTCCAGTTCAATCCTGTTCATTCCAGTCTGACCTGGTTTGAAAAACACCGATTGTTTGTTCTGCTTCTATCGACTGTGTGCATCCTTTTCGGAAAGCGCTTTTTCTTTGGAGACTAGGCTATCCATTGGTGAGTTATTGCGACCATTTGGTTGTAAAGTACTGGGAGATGGACCTCGGCTACGCTGGCTTGACCCGAATGTACTATTGATACTTGCGGTGGGAACAAGCGGTGGAGGCTGCGAAGCTTTCAACATGATAGAATTTTGGAAAAAACTACTAGACCTGGAATATGGTAAACTATTATGCAATGAAGGCGGCAGAGCTGGATGCGACGGGATTATCATTTGTCCATGCTCATGAGCGACCTGCAGCATTCGGTTCCTTTCAACTTCCTCTCGTAAAACACGTTCCTCTAACAATCGCTGGTGAACGTGCAATCTTTCTTGTTCTATCCTACGATAAGAATCAACAGCTAGTGGATTGTCTCTGGTGAAATCGTGGGGTTCACGATCTCTAAATCTTTCCTGCTCAATTATTGGTCCCATGGGCTGACCGGTTGCAGCGGCTGCCGCTGCTGCACTTCGTATCATACGGTCCCGCTCATATTCTTGTCGGAATGCGTGTTCTCTTTGAAAGCTCTCTTGTCTACGAAAAAAATTATCCCTGGCATCCCAAGGTATCATGGGCATACCTGGTGGAGGTCGTTCAATGGCGTAACTGGGAGGGAATAAACCTAAGTTTCGTCTCTCAAACATGGATCCTACTACTGGACTAATTCCAGAGTGCATTGTTTCTCTGTGTAGCGTCTCTTTTGCAGTTTCGTAATCCCTTCGTTCCTCCTTATTTGGAGGTAAAATATGTCCAACGCTATCAAAAGCGCTTTCTTTTATATCACGCCTATGCATATGGTGTGTGGCGGGGGATCTAGACCCCTCACGAGTCCTATGATCATTCAGTTTGGGAATAATGTCTTTAGAATGTTCTCCATCCCTTTCACTGTTTTTCTCTCGCCTCTCATCCATATGACGATCCTTTTCTTCCTCCTTCTTTCGGTCATTTGTCCATCGATCTGGACTTGTAGAGGATTGGCCTGGCCTATCCACCAGCCTGGAAAAAAAAATCAGTAAGATCTTAAAATTAAAAAAATTAATTATAATGAATCAGCAGTATTCTTTACAACGGGAAAGCTGACGAAAAACAAAATTGATAATGGTATTAGCCGAAGATCCAAATAAAATTTTGTTTGCTGGTGCAAGAGCATGTGTATCTCTGCATGGGGCTGGTGTTGGTGGTGTTGGTAGGTGTTTCTATGTGCGTTTTACAAGTGGGGCAGGGTAAGTGCTTGTGTGTGTATCTTTGCAGTGGAACAGGGGTAGTTGTGTGTACTTTAGCGGCGGGCAGGAGTTGGTAGGTGTATGTATTCTAAACAATGGTTAAAGGAAATACAAAATATCAAACCTTTCTCTCTCCTTTTCATGGTCTATACTATCTTTGATTCGTTCCCTCTCCCGTTCCTTACGAGCTTCCTCCTCCTTGCGTTCCCTCTCCATCTCAATTCTGGCTAATGCATCTTTAGGCCTATCAGATTCCGGCTTCGGCCATCCAGCTGGAGGAGGAGGGGTAGGAAATCCAGGTGGTGTTCGATGCAACCGGTTGTATGGCAAGTGATTACTATTGAGACCATGCAGGCCTAGCATATCTCGACCATTGAACATAGACCCTGTAATACTATTGCCTGGATATGGAAATAAAAAAAAACAAAAAAAAACAGAAACAATGTAATTTTCTACCATCATCAATAATTATCACAACATTTTAATTAGATATCTCAAAAGAAATTATCTGTAATCCCTAAATATTTTGATGGTAAAGGGCTTAGCCTGATGACATTATTGAGGCACATAGTCAGGCTTAAATATTTTAATGACTTCTCTGGTATGCACTGAAGAAAATGAGGGTTCTGTACAATCAGTTCAGATTCTTTCAAACAAACTTGATGTTAATGTTGTTTGAAGGAATGTATAGTTCTATATAGTCTATTTAATACTTCACAACAGCACAAATAGTTCTTTTTAGCTCCAAAAGTGATTGTATGTACCATCTCTTTAAACATTTATTATTTTTTGCCCTACAATTCTGAAGGAATAAAATAAGTTTTAAGTTGTTTACCTCTCTTACCTAAGCCATTTCTAGGTAGGACAGGGGTACCGATGGGGCCGTAGCCCTGAGGTCTTGGGAAGGGAGGCATCCCCAGTTGTCCAGCACTTTGTGCAATGAAGCCACTCGGATGAGGGCCACCAAGAGCAGAGTGAGGGCCAGACGGACCACCTACAAAAAATATAACAAAAAACAATAATTAGTGACAACTCAGATGTAGTAAAAGGTAGCATACAGTAAACAATATCCTCTATCGAAAACAGAGTATTTTAAAGTGCAAATCTCATCATATAGTTCATTAATAGCTCAGTATGTGCTATTTAAGTTTCTAGTGGTACAAGTAACTGAAGGTCATGAGTTTACCTGGTTACCAATGGTACTGTACGTATTATTTCAAGCTGTACTGCATACCCAACGGTTACAAGTGGTACATTATTTTGTTACTAGTGGTACTGTAGTTATTATAAGTTGCACCGCATTCCCAATGGTTATCAGCAGTACATTATTCTGTTACTAGTGGTACTGTACATATTGTAAGGTGCAATGCACTCCCAATGGTTACCAGTGGTACTGTACATATTATAAGTTGCATTGCACACCCAATGGTTACCAGTGGTACATTATAATGTTACCAGTGGTACTGTATATATTATAAGTTGTACTGCATTACCAATGGTTACAGTGGTACATTAATTAGTTATCAATGTTACTGTACCATTTTTCATTGTAAATGGTAAGATTACAGATTATACCAACGGTTCTTCATGGTACCACCACAGTTTTTTATATCAGTAGTACCATTGCATGCTACCAATAAGCATTGTTCCAATGGCATATATGGTACCACTGCATATTGGTACTGTACCATGCAAAAAATAATTATTATAACTTGCAACGTACCATTACCTGGTGGAAAAAGACCTGGTGGGCCGGAGTGGTCGGCAGGTCGATGGGGAGGCATCAGTTGAGGTGCTGGACGGGAAAATATATCAGGTTTCAGTTGATCCTTCTGGGCCTCCACTTTCTAAGATTACAAAACAAGAAAAAAAAATGTTAATTTGTATTTTTCATCAATCATTCAATTCCACATACATATTTTGTAGTGCCTTACATAGATTGAAAGAAAAGTACAATCAATAAGTTGTGAACATATTAAAAAAAAAAAACCTAAAGACTATATGGATGTATAGTACAATTAGACATGTGAAAACCTAAATAATAAAGCCTAAACTTAATTAAAATGTGTTAATAAACAAAACAAGTTAAATCTAAATATATAAGCTTATATTAAAATTCAGTAGTACCTTAAAAAATATGTTGGAATATTTATTACAGCAACAATAATAAAATACAGTAAATCATTAAATATAACAACAAAAAAATAAAAAATAAAAACAGCAGTAAATAAGATAATAATGACACTGAAAATGATGATTATAGTAATAGTGATTATGATAGTAAAATAATAATTATTAGAATAGTTATTAAATAATAACAAATTTATATACAAATGATAATCACAATAATAATGATTGTGATAATGACAATAATACAAATCAGGTACTACGAAGCAAAACGTGTGGCCAATCCCTGATGTTGCATATTATTAAGTTTGGATGGAAGTATGTCACATAATAATAATAATAATAATAATAGATGGATTTATATAGCGCAAATAAACGAGGTTTCTATGCGCTAGACAATAATGAAGTCAAGAACACAAAGAAAAAAGCCGGTGGAAAAAAAAACAAAAAAAAACACCAAGCTAGCACCCAAACCGAAGTATGGGGTTACACCATCACCGCCAACCGGAGATCTGTGTTAATGTACTCCGGTTAGCATCGGTTAAGTCTTGATCTTATATACAGACAGATTTTACATATAGACAGTATGGTAAGCCATACCTTCTGTTGTTGGTGATAGATCAGCCAGGCAACAGTAACGTGGGCTGCACACCACTTCCCTTGCTTCTGTAGCAAGTAAAAAGAAAAACAATTAAAAATTAGAAATTCAAGAGGCTAGAATTTTCTGTTTTTTTGAATTTCTGTAATGTTTGTGCTGGATGTTTTCTTCTAATCCTGCCTTCAACTCTTGGACGAATATACTGAATAGACTATCTATGCAACGTGCAGTCCTCAAGAAAGATAATGATTTATCATGGGTTTACAAAAGAAGAGATGGCACAATCTCAGAATCGCTAATTGGACATCGCTGGTAACTTCAGCACTTTCGTCCAATGTGTTTTGCTGCTTGTGCGTAACGTGTGCTCAAGTTTATTAAAGAGTATTTCATATTAGTTGAGAAAATTTTATTTTTAACTTGCTTTAATTTTGATAATACCTATCTAGAGCTGATCTGAAAGTTGATACTTCATTAGCCTGGACGACCTCAGATGGAAGGTTATTCCAATTATCTATTGTTTTGGGCAGGAAACTATGTTTGTAATTTTGTGTGCGACACTGAACTGGGGTGTATTTATGTGCGTTCACATTTCTTTGTTTTCTTGACGATTTACTGACATACGTCGGAATATTTATAGCAATTTATAGCAACAAGTAGGGGGTCAGGGGAAATCCCTGCACTAACAGGACCCTGACTGAGGCTCTAGTCGGCCCCTTGGTTCAGTCCCCTTATCGGCAAATTTCTGGAGGCACCACTGCATGTAAGTATTCCAAGATCTTTGGAATTAATATTTTGTAGAGGGCACACTAGAAACTATGCTCATATTTTGTAATGGTACAATAATTATGATCAAGTGTGCTATATTTATTAATATAAGATCTTCGAATAAAGGGTTACTGTACTCATATTTTGTCACAAATCATTTTCATCAGCCAAAGAACGTCACCTTTACGAACTCAGAAATTTAAACTTAAGTAACTCTAGCTCATAAATCAATTAATCCAAAAAGGCATTAAATATATGCTAAAAATACATATATAAAGAAAGATTTAAGTAGACAGATATAAATAAATTAGTTTGCCCTTTAAAAATTTACAGGTAGTCTGTGATCAAACACGTCTAGTCTGGCATTTGTATCAATTTCACTTAGGTGGACAAGTCTTTATAACTAATTTATTTCTTTATTAATTTAGTTAACACCTACTTAAAAGTTTAAGTAAAACTACTTAAAGGAAGCCAGAATGAGTCAAAAGAAAAAAAGGCAAAGATAAAAATCCAACAGATATAAGCTTGAACATGAGCCAGGATCAAAGTAAAATAATAATGAAAATAATTTTAAGATGCATACCTTAGGCTGGAATGCCGAACTCGGAGGCATGCCTATTGTGTTTGGTAGTGATGTAGGTGGGGGAATAGCTGGCAGGTTTGGAGGAAAGCCAACACCGAGCTGTTAAATACAAAAAAAAAATCTATCTAAATTAAAGACAATAATAATAATAATGCTAAATGAATAATTTCCGGTGTAATTGTCACTAATGATTTTTAGTTATTAGTTATTAAATATCTGGATCTGCAAAGTTGAAAAAGACATACTGCAATAATTAAAAAAGACATTAATGAATGCCATACATGAACACTAATTAATAAAAAAGATCATTAGACAGAGTTGAGTTTACTGACAGATGACAAGCAGCTGAACATCTAACTTAACAGATATTAAATTATGTCCTATATTCTAAAGTTGATGAGAAAGATCTTAAACGACATAATCCGACAGCTTAGAGCAATTCCATGATGAACGCATGGATACATGCTACGGCACGTAAGTACCGCATCTTTTCAATACATCGTCTAATGTATTTTCGATTTTATATCAATAACAGGAACATTTGGCAAGCAGTATGATGAAAATGAATGTGCTTAGAGGGTAAACTAGGCAATGAACCGTTATCCATTAGATCTTTGGAGATGCGACACATGACACGATAAAGTCACATGCACATGTGCGAGGTAATCCCGACTTATTTGCTGTGCATGCTGACCACACGTTTTAGGCTTCTGGAAGAGACTGTAACAACCTCGACCGGCCAGCTACTCCATGTCCGACACAAAATCTCTGCATCGTCAATCAATACGGAAGGATGATTTAAGATGATGCAACATCTATAAGTGCGTTGTTTACAAAGGATTGTTACATGGTAACATGTGACAATATCACATCTTGATGACAATGACCTCAAGGACTAACTTCCAATGGACGATCATGTTGAGTAGTAGTTTTCAAGTCATAAAAACACTCAACGCTTTGCTGAATGACAGAGGAACGCGTTTTAAACTCCAGGGAGATGAAAAAATGTAGTATCTTATTTCTGTGCTCACGTAAAACATCTGCTGCTGATGTTATAACTTAAGGTCTGTTTACACTTACAATGAAAATGATAGAAATACAATCATATCTGTAGTAAATGATATATTCATATGATAACCAATAATGATCAGTTTTCACAAATCCATCCGGAAAATTTGTTTTCTTCTAACAAAAAAACTAAACAGAAACATTCAACACATGAAGAAGATTATTGTTATGATGTAAGCCTGGACCATGTTGGAGATGATTATAATTGATATCAGCCGCAGCTGAATCATTCATGAACGAATACCGATAATTTTTGTTATATAAATGAGAATACTGGAATTACACGTAAACTTTATATGCAGTTTTCCCCGGATTAGGCTTGTTGAGTCCTAGGCTAGCTACAGAAGTTATATAGGAAGGTTATGGAAACCAGGTGGTGCTGTACCCTGTGTTTGTACTTCCGCTCTCAGGTACACAATCATTCTATACATACTACAAAAGCCATTCAAATGAGGCCATTTAAAAAGTTTGAGACTTAAAAACCCCTCCCAAAAACAACCGTAAACCTGACACAACTTACCATGTGTGGCGGTGGCTGAGGGGGCACAAGAGCGCTGCCTACCGGGGTGGGTAGGAAGGAATGGCTATGCATATGTTGATGCATATGATTATGTTGGTGCATGTGTGTCTCCGTTCTCATGTATGGCGGAGGGCCAACTGACATATTTCTGTCATGAGCAGCAAGAAATCGTTTGTCCAACTCTTTCCGTAAAATATGTTGCTGACCTGTGGAAGAAATAAAATTAGAATATTGAATATAAATATTGAAGACCTCTATGCTTTTTAACAAATAATCATTTTTTAAAAATGTTGATAAACCAAATACTAAGACACTTTTAAGGATTAAAGTAAATTTTTAACTTTTTTGATAACGCTTTATATACTAAACTGGAGGTAACATATTCTGTAATCATTACGTTTAACTGGAGTAATTTAATAATGAAATTAATAAGCATGTAAACAATAGCTGATATGAAATGTCTACATAAATGAGAAGCACCAATGCATATTTTTAGATATGTAAATTAGATTTTGAATAAATTAAGCTATTGATTTTGCAGTACAGAATGGAAGCTAAAAGCAATTAAAATTACCCACTATCATCGCACCATCAGCAAATTGATGTAATTTCAATACAGATGCATTATAAGCAATGTTTATTTTAGCAATAATGACAAAAAGTAATATCACAATATCACTATTAAAACAACGTCATAAAATCATTATCACCATCATCATCATCATCAACATAACTATCGGTACAGTTATCAACATGAGCAGCAGTTTCAATGAAGTTTTAACAACAGGAGCAATAGCCACTCAACATTATCAGCAACAAGATATTTCAAACAACAAAATTATAATAAAAACTTTGCTTATGGTTACAAAATGCTCAGAGCACCTTAATTATACATAACAAACATGGACCTTAAAAAACAGGCTCAGTCGTTAACTTAATCTTAATTAAAACTTAATAATAATAAAAGCAAAAAGCGGGCAGTAGAACCAACCCATATCCACCTTTTGTGTTGTTTAAGTTCCTGTTATGGAGTTCCAGCGGTGTGATTTGACCTTCTGAATAAAAGAGAAGTTGGGAAAGAAAAAACAGAATGAAGTCAACCATTCAACAGAGGATCGCTTTTCATGCTCGTTGCCTAGCACGTTCAAATGTATTAAATCCATAAACACAGCAACTCCTAGGCTTACGATAGTAGTTGCCTGTCCTTCCCGGTCGAAATAAGCAAATGTGTGAGCCTGTTTCGACAAGCCTGTGAGTCGACAGCTGAGCTGTGAAACATACAGTGTGGGCCTACGGATCCACTCAGCATATCTGTTGTTTCTCCCAGCAATTCGGCCTGGAAACAGCTGTTGAGAATTTGCTTTCCATGTTTTTGATTAATTAACTACGTCGGAGTCTCCCCAAGACTTTCACAAACACTCGTCAGACACTTGCATGTACCCAGCATGCCCTAAGTAGGGTCAAGGTTCGTTATCAGATGAAGATTGTTATCAAGGATGTCATGACAGTTCTTCGTTTACCCTAACATTTTAATTTCACATGAGACTAGTGCAAGCCCTGTGCTAGCTCATAGTTACAAGTGAAAACAGCCTGGGATTAAGACCCATGCATTCACCTCCCTAGTTATGATGACAAACATGCAACAAAATAAGTAAAGTTAATGAAGGATTAGTAAAACACATGTGGAGTATGGTTTCCATACACAAATACACAAGTGATGAAATAAAAGTGGCACATATTATTGTGTCTGAAAATGATTATAATCTAGTGCATGTCATAAATTTCCTTCCGGAATAATTAAATTGGTCATTCCAACTCCTTCCCAAAGATGTGAATCAAAACATTACACATTTAAGCTTTTAATAGCAAATCATTGCTGGATGTCAACAAGGTGTTATTGCGCTGATATAATTATTTAAATGGGCCTATTTGGAACTAAAATATCTTCAGTTACTTTGAAGCAAAAGGGAACTCTCCTTCAACCGTACTGACCGTATTGGACATAGGTTCTAGTCGTTAGTACCTCGCCTTGATATATAAAAACTAATTAGTTTTCTTATTTACTGGTAACCATATTTTAGGGTAGCGCAGATATAACTATCATCAATCTAAATGATGCAAAATACCTACATATATTATTAAATGAATGATATTTGTGCATGAAAAAAATAGCTGGTTTAGTCTTGCTCATCAACTTACATGCATAATACACACCACACAAAAGCATATGATCCTATTGAAATAGATCATATTTCATAAAATGCATAGGAACCAATAATGTAATTTGAGTATAATAGCAACACCATTATAGTAGCATAGTATTACACTAACCCAAATTAGTCAAGTAGATCATATCAATAGTTAGAAAAAAAAGCCCACTCAAATATGTTAAATGTCTTAATAACGTCATGAGACATATTTGAGTGCTATGATGAATCTCATTTGAAAATACAAATGCCAATTTTCCATATGGTACTGCAGTTTGTTTACTTAAAGTCCAAACAAATCCAGATAACAATAATTATTATATCATCATTAATTCACATCCACATTAGATTAATCTGCTTTATATTAACAAAATCAGTTTCACTATCATCATTGATACCATCACCACCATCACTAACATTTGTTAATACATTCTCCTTATTAGCATTCAATGTTAGTATTCTTTGTTAGAATGAATAAAAAAAAAAAACAGTACTAAAGATTTTCAATCTCAACTTCTATTCAGGAGGAAGAAAGAAGGACAGAGAGACAAAGACTATTTTCTCTGCAAATGTATAGTAGGTCTATAGAATAAGATGATATAATTGCAAACATTTTTTGGAGTAATGATAATATAAGCTTAGTTATTTCAGATATGCATAATTTATTATGAGTATGATTGAAAAGCCAAAGAGATGGTAACAGTCAGTAACAATATTGATTGTGTCAATATTACAGCAGGGCAAATGATAAAAACAGATTGAGTATAGCACTCTTAAAATGCAATAACAAACATAACATTGTTGTATTTCATTAGAATGTCTGGGAGTCATTTGGAAAAATATCGACAAAAAACAGCTGTTTACAAATCTGTATGTAAATTTTAAATGTTAGAAAATCAAGTGGACTCAGTTTGCAGAATATTTTTTTGACTTGCAATTTATCTTATGTATTTTAATAGAATATTGTATGTAATCTTCCCTTACCCCCCACACAAATATAAAACAGCATAATACAGTAGCTCATGACATTTTGCCAGTGTAAAAAAATCTTAAAATGGGCCTAATTCACAAGTTAATTGATATTATTTGTGGTTTTATAATTTTTTTGTTTGTTTTTGTTTTATAGTAGGCCTATATTCTCCTTATGAGCATTCAATGTTAGTATTCTTTGTTAGAATGAAAAAAAAAAAAACAGTACTAAAGATTTTCAATCTCAACTTCTATTCAGGAGGAAGAAAGAAGGACAGAGAGACAAAGACTATTTTCTCTGCAAATGTATAGTAGGTCTATAGAATAAGATGATATAATTGCAAACATTTTTTGGAGTAATGATAATATAAGCTTAGTTATTTCAGATATGCATAATTTATTATGAGTATGATTGAAAAGCCAAAGAGATGGTAACAGTCAGTAACAATATTGATTGTGTCAATATTACAGCAGGGCAAATGATAAAAACAGATTGAGTATAGCACTCTTAAAATGCAATAACAAACATAACATTGTTGTATTTCATTAGAATATCTTGGAGTCATTTGGAAAAATATCGACAAAAAACAGCTGTTTACAAATCTGTATGTAAATTTTAAATGTTAGAAAATCAAGTGGACTCAGTTTGCAGAATATTTTTTTGACTTGCAATTTATCTTATGTATTTTAATAGAATATTGTATGTAATCTTCCCTTACCCCCTACACAAATATAAGCATAGGCCATATATCAAGGTGTGCGTGTGAGGACCAATTAAAAGTGATTTAAGGTCAAACAGTCTACACCGGATATTTCAAAAACCAGTCAGATGATGTGATGATGTGATGTGTTAGTGATAATCCAGTGAAGGGTGTAAATTTGAGGGTCTTTTCCATTTTTTGAGGACCCAGACTTAAATATCTCTTTAAAAAAAACAAATGGGTCTAAATGAAACATTTTATAATACTTTGGAGGTCTTGTAAAAAAATGACTAAATTTTTGTGACGATCTGCAGTAAGGTGTGGATCATTTAAAGGAAAACGTCCCAGACCACATTTTTTCGAAAACAGGTCAACTAATCCGAATAAAACTTTCGGGAAAGTTTAACCCAAGTTACAAGGAAGATAATATTATGTGTAGGGGACGATCAAGGTTAGGGTATAAATTTAAGGGTTATTTAAATTGCTTACGTCCCAGTTACAGATGGATAAAAATGACACTTTGCAGAATAGTTTTTTTTTATGGTGAAATGAAGAAATGATCCAATTTTGGTGACGATCCGCAGTAGAGTGTGGATATGAGGAACATTTAAAGATTTTTTTGTTTATTAAATTATTTAAACGCAATTTGCATTTTCTAAAACGCTTACAGTTACAGCTATGTTAAACTCAAACCTACCATGATATGCATGAACAATATTTGTTTTCAGTCATTGAATCGCTATGAACTGAAAATGCACTTTCATATGCAAGGTCGGCCCATATAGCGCGCAATGGTTATGGGTCATGATGTACCTCGCTATTACCATTGCAGCCATAGTTCAAGTCTCACTAATAATGTTGCAGTTTTGGTTGGTTTTTTTTGTCCCACTTAATTTTTTTCCACTTTATTAAAATTATATTGGCTTTCCGTGCAATTTTTTTACTTTATACCTTTTAAGGACTTTTCTTTTTGTTGCAATTTCAACTTCATTTCTCATTAAAGCAATAGGGAAAAGCCCTATGTTCTGTCGTTCAAACAGACACAGTAAAGTCTAGTTATACATTTCTTTTGTGCTAGAAATGGTAACGCAATCAGAAAATCACAGGAAATATTATGCATGAATTAATGTACCAGCACAACAAGGCTACAAGCATGGAATAATTTTGAGAACCATAATAATTATAATCAAATAGTGTAGAAACAAACACAATGCCAATGCCCGCAGATTTGTAATTTCACTTAAATGATTACTAGCAATAACGCTCACTTTGCAGAACAAATGTGGATATAACCCTCAATTTACATAGTGAATTTCAATCTGTTTGTTGATTGCACAGTGATGCAATGCAGATAATTAAATTAAACAGCATGAAATCTACATTACAAACAATATGGCAAAATCAATAGGTGTGAAAATCATTACTCAATTAATAAGCATCACTGAAAATGAAATTTTCAGAATACAAGGTATAAAAGAATCACTAAAACTAATATAATTATACAAATATATTTATGGTTGACATCCTGCTGTTATTGTAATAACAATTACATCTAAATACAGAGTCTGACAGCTTAAATATCAAGATTTAAAAAAAGTAATGTAAAATGGTTAATATTATTTTTGTGCAGATTGAAAAATGAAACTTACTAGAATAATTATAGCTTGTATCAGGTGCAGCAGCAAAAGGACTCTGGTTGTGGGTTGTTGGCGAAGTCAACGGCGGTGGAGGCGGCAGTGAGGGTGTGTACATATTATGCGGCACTGAACGGCTCGGTGGTATTGTCGACGAGTGCGAGAACGTGGGTGTCTGCGACGGTGCCGAGTACGGAAGAGTCGGCGTGGACCGTGGCAGATGAGCTACGCTCTGAGCAATAGGCTTGGTGGCACTGTTGAAAATGAAAAGGATTTTATTATTACAGTATTTGTTATCCATAAAGTTAAAATATTCATCTTAAATGGACACTAATACATGCCAGCTAATTTGTTATTTCAGTAAATAAACCCAAAATCCTTCTAGTTTGAATTCTAATCTCAGCCAGGTACAGTACATTATTTCAATCATATTATTACTATTTAATTCTAGCGGGAATTACAATTTCAACAACAGAAATCAATTAGAGAAGGGCAGAATGATAATACAATAAATAAAAAAATCTTATAAAAGGCTATGCAATTTTTAAAAGCCAAATATACTGTTTCGATTTTCAATCAAAACAGTGCATTTAGGAATGTAATAATAGATAAAACTTGTGTTCGGAGACTAGGATTAACTTTCTATCTCAAATTAATTTATATGGATATTTTCATGTTTATTAAGTAATACACTTAATATAGTCCTACAAATAATGCTGGTATTTTTCCTATTAAGAATGATGATATTATAATAATATATAATAATAACCACTATAAGCTAATTAAAGAATAATAAAATTGTAATTAACCAGAGCTTTAGCCTTGAGAAAATAATTACAGTCGATATATGCATTTAAATGTGATTCAATTAAATTTTATTTGCTGTATATGTCACTGAGGGAAAATATCCACTTAATAATTTTAGTAAAAGCAGACGGGATTGAACTCTGATACAAGCATGGAGCAATAATTCCTTCATGATAAAAGTATGTATACTTTATAAAATAATACAAAACAATAAAAATAATACCGAACAACTACCATAATTCCTTTGATATAAGCCCTCCTTCCTTGAACAAGAAAACATACTGAGTATTCGGTACGATAACATGGCAAAATGTCACTACTCCTGTTAAAATTGTTTATCTATAATGTTTGCATATAAAATTCAAAGGACGATAAATACTGCAGGACACTCTAATTTCCAAACAGTAAAAAGTCAGAACAACAACCAATGATATGATTAATACCTGTTAACAAGTTCTTGATTGGTAAATAAACACAAGACAGACAGATTGCTTAATTTACACACAACAGATATATTGCCTTCAAACTACTAACCATGAACTAATTATCATGTATGAAAGTTGCTTACTTCTTTGTAACCCTTGTGTGCCATTTGTCAAACATTTTTTTCATCAGACAGTGGGCAAATTGAATCAATTACCTCATTATTATACATTGGGGGAAACAGGGATGTAAAAAACTTTCTCTTTGAGAACAACGCAGCATCAGTGTTTCTAATTCAAGTAAATTTTGTTATGATTAATGTAATTATCTCTTGCTGGGTGTTAGCATAATTGTTTTCGCCCTGAAGTCAAACTGTGATCTGCACAACATTTGCTACATTTGACCTCTGGTTACACGCCACCAATATGTTTGTCAGATAACAGTAAATTGCTCTTGTAATTGCATTTGCTGCTCAGAAGGCTGGGTAGCAGTATTTCTGCAGAACTTTGTTGACATTATATTCTATTGATTAGCCTTTTGGAAATCCCACAGGTGATGGGTATATTTCTCTAATATATGTCACTGCATGGGAGAAGAGATCTAATTTGCCCAGCTGCTTCAGCTTGACCTTTAGTTGCTAAGAATCAACTTTTCTCAATCAAAATGGCTCCCAGAGCTTGAATATGACTCCCAGGCTGAGATGCCAAAGTTGACATAAATAGTATAATCGATTATGTAAGTTATAGCTTTAGGCCTTTAACATTCCCAATGAGCAAAAAATACATACCATACTATATAGTACTAACAGTGGCAAGAACATAGTAAATGTTGTGAATTGGTAGATGTGTACTAAAGTGCATTCTCTCACAGTACTTTGTTTTATGTTGAGCAAGCAAAGACTCACTGTCCTATGCTCTCGCTGTTGTACAAACTGTGACAAGGACCGCTAATGCCCCTTGATAAACACTTCACACCACACATACACACACACACGCTCTCTTCACGAAGCCAGGAGTCTGTAAAAAGCTTTTACAGACAGTATTTCTAAACAGGGTACAATAGCAACTAATCTAAGTACACGCTTAACTTCCAATAATAGCTTGGATTAGGCTAATTGGTGTCTGACTGATTAAAGTAAATTAAAGATGACAATACTGGTTTTCATCTCTCATCATCCTTTTAAAGACTCTTTGTATGGAAACAACTCCTGTCAAGACACTGTGCTCAAAATGATTGTGCACATTTAATATTCTAATCAAAGGCAACGGGCCTCTTTTGTTAGGGTCAAGTATTTTGTTGATCACACCCGGACCAGGTAAAAACGGCAGATTAGACAACTCTATGTTACAGACAGATACTAATGACTGGCACAGGTATTGATTACTACAGTTTACCATATCATTTGTTTGTCATGTCAATCCTCAGTGATCACATAAATTTGACAAGAAAAAGATCAATATTTCTCTCTCCTCTTGTAGGTTACAATGACTTCTTTTTTATTTTTTGTATTACTATAAACATGCAAAGCATAGCACAAGACTAAACAATGCTTGTATTACAACGAACAACACTAATATCAATACACAGACTTATAAATATATTCTAAATTGTTAGGCACTGATATAAGACTTTTCCCAAGGCATGAAGCTTGTTATTGTCCTTCACTAATATTCCTTTGGTGAGGGGCAACAACACCTGCTAATTAACTTTAAAGAAAAAAAAGCGCATCTATTGGGATTGTGACTTCATGTGATCAACCATATTGACCTGATAACATTGACCTATCATTGACCTTTCATAGCTCATCATCACATTGTAGGTACGTGGTACAGAGTACGGTATAACAAACACCAGAGTTTTTACAGCAGTTACAATATGTATAGCAACCATTTCAAATTAACCTAATTCTTGATTGAGTGACTGATCAATCAATTATTTGAATTTCATGACAACATGTACAGTAGTGCAACCATGTCATATTAAGTAACATAATGATTAATTTTGGTACAATTAATTGCAGGTACTTACTTAGGCCAGCCCGGGGCTTTGGTAAACCCTCTACTCTGCTCGTTATGTTCCCTCTCTCTCCTCTCCCTTTCTCGTTGAACCTCTTCTAATTCCCTACGCTCCCGTTCCCGCTCCCGTTTTTCTTCTTCCCGTTCCCTTCTCTCCTGTTCTTGCTCGAGGAGGCGGTCCCGTGGTATTTCTTGCACGTCTGGTAGACAAGGTTTTATTTGCACCGAAACAGGTGCCGTAGCCAAAATTGTAATCTCTGGATCTCTTTGTATACAAGACTCGCGTTCCGGACTTGGTGCATTTGGCTGGAGAAGTGGTTTGGGTGGTAACAATGGTTTGCCTGTTGGGAGGAAACAATATTGTTACATACAATGTTCGTCAAAGTAAATAAAATAGTGATTGAATGGGTATTAGCAATCCTTGACCTCCATCCATCCTTAATGTATGACACGAAAACAATGTTATACTTAAATGGATAAATATACATCAATACATCTTGGAGGACACGTGTACATAATATGATTTAATTCCATTTAATATCAATTGAATTACCATTTAGCGCTATATATTACGATTAAAATTATTAATAAAATAATACAGTAAAAAGTGTATTTTGAATATGTTATGAATTATTATTATCATCAATGCTTTGATATTATTTTATTTTTAATATTTTATTAATATAACACCTCATAATATAGTGTGTGCAGTGACTTACAACCAGTAATTTATTGTTACTTAATTTCAATAATAGTTGCGAAATTCAGCAACACCATAAAAATCAACTGTTGAGTAATATTAATTTAGACTCTAAAAATGCAATCATACAAGCCTTGACCTTTGACATAGTCTTGTGTGTGCTCATGACTATAAGATTGCTTATTATCACTACTGTATAATGCAAACCCTGGTGAATAGAATTGATCACATTGATTTAAAATTTAAATTTGTTAATATAAATTAAAACTAAGATAGTACTGGATATCCAATTGCCATTTATTGCAATCACCTCTAAAATCATTGTTTAATTTGAAAATTTTATTTGAAGACCTGAAACATTTTATTAATAAAAATCGATGTTTTCATGACAAATATAATGAGCTCATGTTGAGAGCAGGAAGTTCCTAGAAATCTAGCAAGAACCAACTGTCACTCTTCTTATCCACCTACTGGGCTGCTTTCAACAATGATGGTTTGCAAAAGGAAAAGTGGATTTGATTAAATCCAATCTAGATTTTTGTTGCCTATTCCAATTCAATCACTGTTCTTTTCTCTCGCAGGAATCAGCATATTGATTTCTGCTCTATTGATAAACACGTACTGTACATTTCCAATATAATGTAAACCTACAGTTGTTGAATAGTTTAAACCTTATACAGAGTTGCTTCAAGACTTCTGCATATATACAAAAAATTCTTAAATGTAATACTAACAATGCCTTTACGTTTGGAAACTTTTTAAAAGAAAAATTAATGGGCAAAAGAAAGAATACTAGCTAATAAAATGTACTGTAATGCAAAAGATTTGGTTTTCTTTTTCCCATGAGCTTATCTATCCATATATTTTCCTCTACTGCATACAAATATGTCATTTTCAAAGTTGGACATTACAAAAAATGTTAAAGAATTTGTTAATGGCGAATAAAGTTGGACAATACTTCAAAGTAATTACATAATCCATACAGACTATAAAACCAGGAATCATTACAACAAAATCGAGAGAAATCTGTGATGCATTTGCCCATCTGTCCAATAATGACAGATTCATCAAACTAACACATACATCAAATATTTCCATATTTCACATGATGCACACATATTATTTTGCTTTCATATCTTCTATGATTATTTAGCAATATTGAATAAATTAAAAAGAAATAGTAATTAGTTTATCTCATTTGTTTTTATTTGTGGAAGGGAGAAAGGGATTCTACAGTATTTGTAGTCGTTGATAATGGGCTATTTATAGATATTTGTCCCATACTTCAATATTTTCTACTAGTTCAGAGTTTTACCAAATATACGGTAATAACGAAAACCTGTGATGAAATCCAATAAAATATAAACATCTCCGCTACAACAACTAAATCAGGAAATTCAAACTTAATATCCTAATTACTTAGTTGGTTTCCGTAGGCCTTTTAGCCACCAGAGTGTTCCACAAGAATTATCATAAATCAAAAATAATTTATATAAAAATTTTGGTTAGCTACCAGACTATTCCACAAGGATTATCATAAATCAAAAATAATTTATATAAAAAATGTGATTAGACCATGACTGTGCAGAGGTATTTTGTCGTGGGCTGAGCACACCGGGCCGTTAATAGGCTAAAACAGTTGGTTCATTAGTCAATTAAGTTCGTGTCACCTGCACTTTAATGCCCCAATCCCGTTAAGCTTCCGGTCAGCAGTTTCTGATCGGGTCCTACTTAGTTTCTCTCGGCTTCCAACAGGGACTCTGGCGCAGAGAAATTGCCATAAATCAGCGTATGAATTTGCAAACAAGTTCTAGGCTGCGACACTTGTAGCAATTGTCGTCGTGCCTTGATCAGCAGTGGAAAGAGGTCCCGGCCCAAACATCGCATGACAATTATCGATGCATTAGCTGGCTAATCTAAAGCATGCAACTTGCTAATTCTGCCAACTGATCAAACAATGCTTGATATGCTCTTCGCTAGGTCATGCATCGCAGATTGACAGCATCCCGCATCCAACCCACAGTGGCTACTGTTTTGTTTTCATTCGCTAGAGGCAGTACACACTCTAAGAGCCTTAGTAATAGGCATAGATTCTTCAAAGAACCAAATGCTAGCCCTAGGTCTAAGTTATGATGGATCTGTTTTGTTTTTCTACTTCTCAGCTAATAAAGTCAATCTTGTCTGCCCTTGGAGCCGTTTTCATTGCCTGCAACAGCCCAGAGGTGACACCATAATACATTTAAATGGCTGTTATTCTAACTAAGCAATAATAACACCTGTAAGCTTGTGTAATTTATTTGTGACAGCCTCAATTAAGCAGGTTGCATTTGAAATCAGAAATGTTTTGCTAGCTAATCTGCTAATAAGCCCACCGGCCAAAGTAGCTTGCAGGTATTGTCCTAATTTGCATACGGCGAACAATTCCTGATAATTACTCTTTAATTAAAGAGTGCCTGAACAGGAAGCTTGACAGTCTGCCCATCTTTCTACCTCCGAGCATACCATCATTAAAACACAAAGCACTACTGTGCACTTCCAGTACTGTACTAACAACATAACCTTAAAACTATTTTTAAAAATCTGTACAAATACAATATTATAAAGTACAACCTGCAATAGAACCACAACCCTGTAATTTTAGTGATCTTTTAGGCCTAAACATTGTGTTTAATTCATATTTATGAGAATAACAGTGATATAGCTGTCCTTATAATCATGTATACAATTCAACATGTTTTTATGCTATTGTATTTATGTTGTTTTTTTATATATTACAGAACTTACTGAAAATATATTTCTTTTGTGGGCGATATCTGAGGTATATAATGTAATTATTTAATTTTTATAGTACATCATCTTATTATTATTGTATTTTCATACTGAGTGCCCCTTTTGCCAGCCTCTAGATCTGGCATTGTGATTAAAATTTTGCTAGAATGGAAACATTTCATGTAAATTTAAGGTAAAACTTAAAAAGTAATCATTATTATTTGAAAGATAATGACTAACTAAATAAACTTTGAAGGACATATGAATGAGAATAATTTGAATAAATTTAGAAATTAACTTTAAATTTTACTCACATCTGCTATCAAAAGTGTATAATCATTCACCAATATGAACCCAAATTATAGCAATGTCATTTACTTATTTAATTACCTTTTCTACAATTAAATGAAGGGTTAAACTAGCATAAGCTGTCACCTACAAGTCTAGGCCAAGGTTAAATTTGAGCCTTGCAGTAACATTCAACTCAGCCCTACTTTATGATACTGCCAACCTTGAACCTCAAAGGCCTGCCAAAGAATCAAAGGAAATGTACATCATCCCAAAAACTTTCCCAGGTAGAGCCTGGATTATCCGGGGTTAGAATGTGGATCATACTAAATCAAAAAAATATTTCAAGTGTAAATCTTTATGTGAATGTTTAACAGTCAATAAATAAAACTGTACGACTAGATAAAGGTATGTACTATATATTAGTCCTTTATATTCAGGTACTATGTAGCATGTTCTCTGCACTTTGGATTAGTAGTAAAGTAAGACAAAATTAAGATTAAGAAATTTGGGTGCCATCTTGAAATCATATAATTGACAATAAAAAAATTCAACTAATACTCTTTGATTTAATTCCTCTTTATAAGGGCTTTATGATTAAAGCACTTTGCTTCTGTAGACACCCTTTTCACAAAATTCTATATTTGTACTGTATTTGAAAGAATGGAATTGGGAAATAAAGTTGCTTACTGACAAAACATTGTTGATAGAAATTTGATATTATTATTATCTATAATACTATAAGCCTATGCCTGAACAAACTTATACCATGTGAACTTTTGTAGATATACTTATTCACCTTTATTTACTCAGATATATTTATAATATATTTAATCAAGTAAACTAAATGCAAAGGTACAGGCATTCATGTGATTGATATTATACCACTAAATAAAAATTAGTATTACATAAAATTTTCATAATAAAAGTGTAAATGAACTATTGTCAATTATACAATACAATATAGTAAAGTGTTAATATGACTTATAAAACATTTTAGAAGTATTATAGTTAAAATTATTTGATTTGCTATCAATAATACCTTTAATTTCACTGTTTTCTAATCATAGTTAAGCATAAAAAAACATGTTTTACTGTTGCATCCAGTTTACAATGACAATAAGGGAACCTTGTGTCTTTTGTCTCTATCTGAATCTCCTTAAGTGTATAACAAGAATCAAAACACTGATTAAACAAAGCCACATATGGAGAGCGAAAGACACAGCCGTATTTGTGTGTTCACACATTAGTTGTTAGAACTGGAAATCAATTTTACAGGGTTCACTCTCCACGTACTGGTTGTAATTTCCGACAGCAATTCTGGGACATGCGAACAATTCTGAAGAGGTCGAGTCTCCTGAAACCGATAGCGATCAGAAAACTTGTTCAAGATATCCCATCGCTACTGCAACGATGACGTATTTCCAGGACTGTACGCGTGATAAAATTCCTCCGAGTTTTGAATGAAAAACAGTTACGAGGAACGAGTGTTGGCAGCTGAACACGCGGGGCCTCGCAACAATTCCATGATGGCAATCCTTAGATTTAACTTCCGTCTGGTAAATTGAATTTTTCCCCCGCAACACGAATGAGAAATTACCACTTATGATCACGGTCAGAACTAAATCAACGCTTGTTCCCCGAAGGATTGGCGACATGTGTTACTGATTTTTTACCCTCATCCAATTTAGATTTAAGCCAAGTCACTCCTTCTCCTCTAAATAGGTAATTATTTGCATACGTTATTTTTTTCCACATCGATCCTCTGTTGAAAAAATCTCCTGAGCTGTTGGTATGGTGGCAAATTGTACGTCTCTTGATGCCTAGGCTGGGTCTGCCCCAGGCTGTGATTGGTAACCAGTAGAATAGTTGTTTCTCTCCCAGGCGAATTACTGCTTTGTGTGAATTTGTTACAACCGGTGTGATTTAACGACTCCCTCGATAGGGTTTCATGAATGGTTCAAATTATTGCACTAACTAACGGAAAACAGGCAATATGTCACTCAAAATTACATAATTTACTGCAGAGAATCAAGCATATATCGTTTTCATTGTTACTCATTGCCAAATCAAATTAACAAAATAATATCAAATTTAGCATAACATTTTCATTAAATTGCTATGGAGAAAAGGAATTGACTGACTATGAATTTCAAAAGCTATTTGTAATTGCCACATTATTAAATCTGTAGTGTATAATAAAGCTAAAAAATAACTTGTTACTGCAAATGAGTGTTATTATAATGAGAAATGAAAGAAATTCTTTATCAAAGCTAGAGTGAAATAATTAGGATCAGAAATGCTAGTTTTTTATTTAACCAGATGAGAGTTACAGAAGCAAAGGAGAAAGCTTATTCACCTGTGCGAACATGTCTTACACAGGAAACAAGAATACTAGGAGGCTGAGAAAGATGAGTAGGGTGAAAAGATCCGATGTATTTATGAGCAGAACCATGGATACACTTGATTACTCGAAGAAAAAAAAATTGTAACAGGCTAATCAAGGATGAAAATTATGTTCAAGAAACGCTATAACATTCATCACTAATGACATTAAAATAACTGGATTAGATAAACCCATCTATCTTGTTAGGATTTGTTTGGAGAATGAAGGCCCTTTCCACTCTCTACCTTTTCATCTTCAAAAATAGCCACAAAACAGAGGGTAGGGTATGTGGAATATGTAATAATAATGTATGAGTAGAAATGTAAAAGAAAAAGAGGTAGCGGTCCAAAAAGATGCTAGGAGACAAAAAAGGTTTTTTTTTTCTTTTCTTTTTTAAAAATTATTTGCTAAATTAAAGGTTTGTTCACACTATTAAGAGTTATGTAATTAATATGACTACCTGTAATTGGCCATCATCATGTCCATATAGGTATGCTATGACATCATCATAACCATATATAAGTGTGATATGACATCATCATAACCATATTGGTGTGATATGATATCATAATGCCTATATATAGGTAAATCACACAAATTTGCCACGTAAATCTTAAAAATGTTTACCGCCAGAGCCTAATGGATATGAATGTATTTTGTCCAAAATCTCCGAGGACAACAACACAAATTAACCGCATGTGTCTCGTCTGTAAACCCAGCATCCAGTAATGCAACCCCAGCCATTGATGCAAATCAACATCATCTGTTTTCCACCAAAGGTTAATCGCTTAATGACATTTAAGAATTAGCTTAAAAACCAATTTTCATCCTGAAGAAATGCATGACAGGAAATCCCTTAAAATTTTGCATTGTGGATATAAAAAAAAAAAAAGATTTCTGTATAGTAATAAGTATTGAACTTAAAGATACCGCATATGTTGAGATAATAAACAATCAAATTTAATAAATATTAAATTGCTTGCTTTAAATTAAGTTCTTAGCTTTCGATTGAGAATTAGGAGAAAATATTGACCTTGCCAATAACAAATGTATAAATAACAACATTCTTAATCAATTGAAGGATTTTAGTAACTCTACAGATCAGTGGAAAAGGACTTGTTTTGATATGTTTCACTGGATGTTGATAAGAGTATATAAGCGAAGCAATATAGAATAATATATAAGAATATATTTATACTATAATAATAATAATAAAATTATAGATATAATAATGATCATTCCGATTGTTTCAGATTGTATACATAATTTAAATCTGAAATAACTTTTTTCGGAGTTTGTTTCATACTACAGCATCTGATGTTAAACATGTCGGTGAACTCCACGGATAATTATCAATACTGTGAATCAATATTTAAACCATTATTTCTCATCTATTCATATAGGATTAGACACAGTACTGCAACATAAGCAAAGATTTAACAAAATAATAATATAATAAATAATAACAAAAATAATTAACGGAATCTTAAACAAAAAACAAGTGGACAACTTTTTGACTACCATCAGTCGGCATTTATAAGATATGATTATTTTGCTTACAGTTCTAGTCTACTAAATGCTTAGTGACTTCTAATGCTATGGCCATGAGGAATGTACTTCAAGCGGCAACCTAATTTCTTCACGAATAACTTGATGATGAGGGAAGGGCATGTGAAAGACACTCCTGTCATAGCCATAACAATACTAGAGGTAGCTCATTGACTAGTTGACCATAACTGCGAACATCATCATTAGCAGTTTCTTGTAACAAAGACTAATGCAGCTGATATTCGAAACATCAAAAATAAGTCTGTTTTTTGATAAAATTCTTATTCTAAAAAAACAATAAAATTTCAGTGATAGCCAACACAGTTTACATTAAAATTACCATGAAATTTCAAAGGAGTTTTATGCATTACTTTATAGAAATAATATTTTAATAATAGAGAATAGATGATGAAACTACATGTGATTTAAAAAATTTAAGAATGAAATATACTAAAATTCTCTTAGATTTTGAATGTTATCATTACGTAATATTACATTATCATCGTATAGTTACTATAATAAAATAATCAAATTATTAATATTAATTACTATTCTGGTAAACATTTCATTATGTTTAAATTGATATAACTGATAACAGAAAAAACAATGAGAAATACAAATCAATTTAGAATATGAATGAATGACAGACAGCCGTGTCTGCCAGCAATTTGAGTGAGAGGCTAACAGAGAAGATAATTGGAACACAACAAAATGGTCAGATATTCTAGCATATATCCGCCTTAGGCTAATTCCTGTCAATATGCTACTGTGCCTAGCCTCTGCTCCAAGTGGGTGGTGATACCACTCACTCAGGCCACGAATACTGTACAAGACAGTAGTAGATATTTGATTACGATAGGCCTAGAAATACAGCAAATATGAATATAAATTGTCTTTAATTTCTTCAAAAGGTAGAAGGTTGAATGTACTGTTTCTGCAGTTTAGGTACAAGGACTTAATATGCACAGGAAAAATGTCTTTGTTAATTCAACAAAGCACAAGGACATAAGGCTTATTATTCTACTCCATTAGATACAACAGTCAGTAACACAAGATCTGTGAAAAAGGCCTAAAAATCAACTTACTTGGGTTTGGTGCAAGGTTCGTTAGGAAAAGATCCGATTCAGTATCCGAATTCTGCAAAAAACCAAGTCAAAAAAAGCATTTTAATTAAATAACCTGTATGTGTACAGCATAATGTGGCATTTGCAGATTGCTAGTAAGGTCTGCATAGTGAGTGCAATTAAGACTGGCAGAGTTGCCTAACTGTGTCTTGTTATACGTAGAAATTCACAACAATAGCAACAGATTGCCCTATTCAGAAGATATTGACTTCTGCCTAGTCTCAAAACAACAGCCCGAGGCTAGGTAACAATTATCGTGGTTTTTACAAGCGTTCAATCAATCCTTTGTCATAAAAGCTCTATTTCAAACACACAACCATTAAGAATAGATTTTTAAAGCCTGTTACACTCTTTTCCCAACAGTATCATTTTTTTGATGTATTATTTACAAAACGATTTTAATATTAAAACAGCTATTAAACATTCAGATCAATAAATTTTCAATATTTTTTTTATTCCATTTAAATTACTGTGTGCTACAGACAAAACAACTTAACATGTTCATGTACAATTTTTGCTCAAGGCATAATCATAAAATAAGTTAGATAAACAATAATTTCTGTAAATTATCTTTTTTTTTCAATAGACATTCTGTTTTTAATCTATACTTATCTCAGCTTAATAAATCTATTCCATTTTCGTTATTAATATTCATTATTAAGAAAAAAAAAATAAATGTAACAAAATATACAAAAATAATTAAACTATATTTATAATTATTATAGATTATATATATTATGAATTTTATGTAAAAAAAATGTATTGATAAAAGTATAGTAGATTAGTAAAATGTATTGTAAACATCAGAGTTAATTTTTTCAGATTTTTTTTGTAAGTTAATCACCTTGTTATCTCATAACCATTGTGCATTTCTAGGACTGGCCTAGGACAGACAGTCTAGGCTTCATTTGTATTAACCAGTGCCGTAGAGCGAGATTTGTTCGTTTGCTGTTTGCGTTCACAGCTTGGTAACGAAATATTCATCGCCATGTAAAAACACCCCAGCTTTGAGCTTTTTGCACACGAGACGCAAACAAATCCGAGTCACTATATATCGAATTAGTGATCAGTCGAGTATAGGAAAATTCAGTGCAAATGAAAGAGATGACGTCACCATTGACTTTTAATATAAATTATATATATTATAAATTTTACATGAAGAGTTAACAATTTATGTAAACAAAAAATGTATTTGATAAATGTATAGTAGAGATCGAGTTTATTAAATCATTTGTTAAGATGGTAATCTCCTCTCCTTCCATCCTCTTTCTCCCATCACAGACACATTAATGAGTAATGAACTCTATAATTCAAGTCTTCAAAGTTCATTGTTGATTCAACAATCAGGAGATGAGGACTTAACGACGATGGACACAAAATGTAGGCTCTCAAACTGAATTAGCGATCTAATCAATAAACACATTAGATGCAAGATAACTATGATCCAATTGTCATTGCCACCAGGGAATACAGGAACGGATTTAATCTCGGAAAAAGGATTTCCACTGCTCACTATGATAATCCCTTGTAAGAGGCTCAATTCCATTCAATTCAAATTTTTTTAGGATTTCAAGATGAATGAAAATGGTGATATTTATAGTGCCTCAATACACTGTGAGGGGAAGGGGTGGGATAAATAAAATCTATTATAACAAGCAAATTTAAGTCAGGCATATACTGAACATACAGTGTATTCCTGGCCGTAAAAAACACACGGAAGCCGAGAAGTACGGTACAGTTGATTTATATAATGTTTTTTCTACAATTTAGAACGAATGGAAATGGTGTTTGGCTGATAAATGATTCCACAAAAAATAAAATACAAATAAGTAATAAACAATTAATATCAATAACAGACATCGATCCTCAATAAATATTAATTATACATTTAATATTTATATTTGATATAATTCAGTATTAAATGAGTTTTGCTCAACATAAAGATTCAATCTTTATATATTACAAATAAAGTCTAGGCTACATAGAGTACTACAGTGTTACGTCATGATACCACGTGATACTACTCCATTGTTAACGTTGCAAAATGCATTTAACCCGACGCCATTTCGCAACTGACAAACCACTGATCCCAATTTCTAACGTAATTATGAAGATGTTATATCTTACTTTTTCTTTGTAAATATTTAAATGATTAAATGTGTGTTTGATAACTAATATAATGCGAGCTTTTGTGTTTTTAGTACATTTTGATGGTAAAATATTGTATTCTCCATTTCTGTGTTAAATTTTACAATTATTTTACAAAATCATCCACATCCAAGTCTGAGAAAAAAAACATACATTTCGTAAGTTCTGAGTAAGAGCGATATCTTGCTAAAGTGCTGTACTGTCTAAACTTTGAACTTTTCATAACAATAGAAAGGTAATACACCTTTATGTACTGTATACCACAGATCTAGATCAGTGATTGTAACAAAATCAGGACAAAACATGTAACTGGTATTTACAACAAGCTAAATAAAATTACCATCCAACAAAAAAGTTTGATCAAAACAAACCAATTTCGGTTTTTCAAAGTTGTCTAGCAGTAGTTGTTATTCATAAGTGAATAAGATAGACTCCACATTCCATTTGTACAGAGTAGTAAACATGACTAGTGGTCCTACAAAAGCCGCAATCATATCAAGGATATTACTTGCATTTTTTTGGTTTGTGTTTTATTTCTACTGTATTTGTTGTTCGACCTTGAGTGAAATTTGGAGTACATGGGTGACCTGTACTTTATTACACCCTGTGAGATCATTCACATTCAATTTTGATAATAAATATTGTAAATTCAATCAGAATTAGAGGAAAACATTACCAGCTAATCTGAAACAGGATCATAAAATGCAATCATCATTAGATAGTTATAAAATTCTTCAAAAAGTACAACTTTAATAGTGTTTACATACCACTCCTATACCTGACCATGTAAATTTGTATCTTATCTAATATAAACAAATGACTCATATTCATTTCATATGATATGTTGTCAAATATACTCAGGCCTAAGACTTACTATATAGTTGTGCCAACGAGTAAACAAAATTATGTTCACATAATAGACCAATAAATATGTAAATTTTATCTTATCTCATAGAAACAAACCATATTCATGTCCTGTCTGTAAGTTTGGTCAAATACAGGTTGGCAATAAGACTTCAATTGTCTAGTCGATAACCGTTTTTAAGCCAGAAACCACCCAATAGCAAACAAATTATAATTCTATTTATTTATTTATTTATTTATTCAAACAATACAAAAATATAAATCTTATTCACAAATCAATTAATCAATAATTAATTAATATAAAGAGGGTTATATACATAATCATCAAAATTTACAAAAGTACATTATAAAAATACAAACAAACATGAAGAAAAAAAAAAGAAACATTGCATACACTCAAACACACACATGAATCATTAAAATTAAATGATGAAATCAAAATATACCGATGATTATGTAGACTAGAAAAAATTTTCTATTAAAATCCTAGGCCGACTATAAAATCTAGCTATGAACTCACTCTTTGGGCTACAAGGGCAATGATTAGGCTTACACTGTAGAAAACCTTTACATTACATCATAGGATATGTAGTTACACTAAAGATCATAAAGACCAGTGATCAATGGGCCTAGCCCGAGGCTTTCACACCCTGTTAAGGTGGCCTACCTAATTGGCTGGAATTAACTGTTATCAGGGATCTTTTACAGCAGGGAGAAATTAGATCCAGGACCAATTTATGCACTATTTTCCCACAACTAACATCATAAACCAGGCAAATGGTTCAGCAAATAAAAAGCTGATTTGGAATATCATTTTCTTCGTCCGGGGAGTCGTTAATCATCCTTGATCTATCTCTAGAGGTAAGCAACAGACATGATGCCAAAGGCAGTAGATCCATAAACTTTAGCGTTCATATTCTCGTCATGAGTAATGGTGCAACGTTTCCGAAGTACACACGACCTCTACAATTCAAAAGTAGTTCTCCATGATTTATGAGTAGCATGTACACAGTTTACAATGATACAAGTGTTCCTTGAATACAGTATACAGTGACTCTGATATATAAACATATATATTCTAAACAGCAAAGATTCTAATTATTATTGTGGTAAAAAAAATTCCATAATTCAAGCATATCACATAAATACAGTCTCAAATTAATTTTGTTTCATTTCATAGGACCATTAAAGCTACAATAACAATTCAAGAGAAAACTAGCAAAAATTCATCAACTTAATAGCAACAGAAGGCACAGTACATCAATAAATTGATGATAGTAAATTATGTAATCCTTTTATTTATTATTTACATTTATAATATCTATCATCCAAATTTTGTTTATATCATTTGTGAATGATAGTAAAGTAATATTGTATCATATATTTTTGGAATAAAAAATAATATATAATAATTATTTATAATGCTTTTACATTTTGCCTGAATAAAATTATTTAATTATGAATTTTATGTGAAACTGTATTAACTATATAAAAAATTATACTGGTTAATTTATTGTTTGGGCGTTATCTCAAATCTCTGTCCAGACTATAAAATTTTATTTGCTAAAAACATGTGACATGCCTAAATATGGCCATGATGACATCACATCACGACCATATATAGGTACATTATGACTATATATGGGCATATAAGTGTGGACAGAGTTTAAAAACAGCAGCTGTTCTCCTATTCCCACAGGATGTGATGTAACACATTCAATAGATATGATGTGTCAGTATACATCAATACACTTATTAAATGCAATACAATAAGATTACCCTTGACAAAATGTATAACAAAAAGAAAGTGATCTCAGATCAGAAATGTACATCAAAGAAAAATCTGTTTCAATTTTAGAATGTTAGAGAACCGTTCCTTTGTTATACTTCAAAATTTCATATTCAATATTGAATATTGCACATCATATTGTGAACTATTCTGGTGGTATTTCAGCAATTTAACATTTCTAATTTCTTCTAAAAAATAGAACTTTTCATTAT